TGGCACTGTGTTCTTTTAGGCCCCGTTCACACTGCAGGCAAAAGTGGCCCAAATCAGATTTTTTTGGGGTCAAGTGACCAGGTCAGACTTCTTCAGAGGTAGTGTGAACACTCAAATCTAGCCCAGATCTGATTTTTTCAAATCAGATTTAGACCACATACATATGTGGTCCTGAATCAGACCCATATCTGATTTTTTTTCAATGCGGCCGCAGTGTGAACAATCAAGGCGGATTTGATGCGACTTTTACTTCAATCTACGTCGACATTTGTCACAATTATGCGCCGGCGAAGCCCAGACACAACAGACACAGATAGTAGCCTAACATTAAAAACTTGACTAGATATGGAGAACAGCGATGAAGTGAGTCAATGAGAGTGAGCTAGGTGTTAGATCTAAGTAGTAGGAGATACTTCAATTCAAGCTAGAAGGACCTACCGTAATCGCTCCGTTTTTGAAAAAATTGCACACGAAATGGAAGAACGGGGACACAGGAGAACAGCGTCTCAGTGAAACTTCACGTCATATTCCCACCACTCCTGGCTTCGTCTACGCATCCACACAGATCTCTGTAGTGAATTTGCAACCATAAACCCGCAAAAGTTTCCATTCACAAACATTATGAAATAAATGCGAATATGCTTACTTCCTCCATAACCTCCCGAACTTTAGTGCAACCGCGTGCTGCGTCTGATGTCATTGTTATTGTTCTTTTGTGCATGCCGGTTAGTTTGAAACCTCAAACAGTTCACACTGGAATCAGATATAGGTCACATTTTAAAAGGTAATGTGAACAGCCAATCAAAAAAATCGGATCTGAGCAAAAAATCAGAATTGAGCATTAGGACTTGCGGTGTGAACGTGGCCTTACATGCGAAGACATCATGATCTGGTGTTTTCAACGTCTCAAGGCTGATTTATACTTCTGCGTCGGACCTACGCCGGAGCCTCTACGCTGTAGACTACGCGTTGGTTTTAATTTATACTTCTGCTTATAGTTTTAGATGTTTGAAAATTAATAATAAAAAAACATGAATATTAGTGTTGTAATTTTGCAGTCAAATAGTGCAGCCCTATGTTATGACATAAAATGAATAAGGGATAGCCTATTTAATTAGGGACCTAGAAGTAATGCATAATCTTAATTAAGTAAACACGCGACTCTTCGTACAGACAGTCAGTTATTCTTCCACTGAAGCTTAAGATGCTCTTTGGAGTCTTTCTCAAATCATCCCAGGACAAAAGACAAACAAACCAAGTACTATGACAAATTCATGTCATTTTTCAATTCAACTTTCCACTTAATAATCTGTATTTAAGAAATTGTAGGGGAAAATATGCATTTTCACAAGTGGTATCAGACTTTTGGACCCCAGTGTACAGTTTATGTACACACCCACACACACACACACAAGGTCCGTTTAATGAAAGCTGCTTGACAGTGCTTTACCAGAGCTTTAAAAGTCCTCTGACCCTCTGTTTCATATGTTGAACAGGAAGGAGCCACACGGAGGCCTATACGAGATAACGTTAAGCCCCTGAGGTTCAGCAATCAATTTCTAGTGAGTCGCACGAAGTGACAGAATATAAAAAGCAATCACGTCCCTGCATGGATCTGAGCTGTCCACTGTCACCTGCTTAAATATTCAGAAGAGCTCGAAAATATTCTGATGTGCCGTTAACAGTCGACAGCCAGCGCTCTGTTCCTGTCTTTCTTTCTGTGTCTTTCCCCTCATGCTTTGACTAACTTCAATCTAGAGGTAATGAGAGCCTAAGAAGCTGGAGACAGAGAAGCTATTTACATTTTTATTGATTTTTGAAAGTGCATTTAACTTCTTTTTTTTTTTTTTTTTCACTCTTTTCTAATCCCCAAACGAGAGTCCCACTGCTCTGTTTACGCTCAATGAGGAGTCAAGATATTTTAGTCAGGAGCTCCAGCATTTTCTCCTTCTCTTGATAGATCAAAGAGGAAACTGGATCTGTCTTGTGTAATTAAGACTAGGCATTACAGAAAACAAACCCCTATGAATTCTGACTGAAGCACCACTGGGGAATGGAGTATTTTTCATAATTATAGAAGCACAAACAAGGCCTACTCAACCATCCACAACAGTTCTCAGTATAGTGCAGCTTTATTGTTTCCTGATTTCCACAATGCTATTTGCCTGTTTAAGTCATTGAAGCCAAACCTTCTAGTTATGGCCATGACTGGAACTTTTGTTAGCAGCAAGTCAGGTATAACTTATGCCATTTTTGACCCATTTGAAGACTAGACTAGAAAACACTTTTTTTAAAAGTGAAGATGGTTCATTTTCAAATTCTCATTTTTGTATAATTACGTAGTGTAATATGAAAAGACCGTGCTATATTTTGAAGATGTGCAATGGGGTAACGTTAGCCATTACAATATCAGCTTGCTATTTTTAAAGTTAAAAGATTAGTTCACTTTACTAGCCAAAAATAAAAATGACAATTTACTCACCACCACAATGTTGTTCCCAACCCACGTCACGTGACTTCCTTTCTTCTAAAACACCAACGGAAAAACTTCCATAATGTTCACGGTTTTCCCTGCAATAAAAATAACGCAAAGGACCATAAAAGTGATATTAATCCTGGCCTATATTCCACCTCATCTGAAGACATACGATATACTTTGTGCAGACTGTTATGCAACTTTGTTTGTTATTTTCTGCTCCCGGATCTTTGCGAGTGAAATTTGCGACCGCATCAGTGAATGAATCATTTAGACTGGCTTTGTGAACTGAATCAACTGAGTCAATGAAAAGAACTATTCACTCAAGAATCCGATTCAGACAACTTTGCTTGCTTGTCTCGTGAATGTAGGCTACTACGGGGAGATAAACATTCAGTGAATAGTTACTGTCTGTTCCACACATAGGCCTAAATGTATTGTTACATTGGGTGTTGTGTGGCTACTGATATATACAATAGGCCTACTTGAAATGATGTGGTCTAGTCAGAAAAATTTATTTGATTCACCTGGTACACAAATCTGTTTCTGAGTCATCACTTTGCTACTGTGTATTTACTGAATATCTTTGCAAATTCGAGGTCACCTTAATAGATTTTGTTATTTTAACAGATCACTACAGAATAGTATGGAAGCTTGTTTCCGCCACAGAATGAAAAATAAAAAAGGTAATTGCGACTTTTTATCTCACAATTCTCTCAGAATTGCGAGATATAAAGTCAGAATTTATTGATATAAAGTCGCAATTGCAGGTTATAAAGTCAGAATTGTGTGATATAAAGTCGCAATTGCTTGATATAAAGTCAGAATTGCTTCATATAAAGTCGCAATTGCGTGTTGTAAAGTCAGAATTGTGAGATATAAACTATTCTAAAGGGGGAATTCTCCCCCCCCCCGGGAGAATTGGCTTTATGCACAGCTGCACTACTTCCTGAACTTTAGCCAGCTCCTTTGTTTCCTGTCTGCCATTATTGGACAAACTGATTAATCCAGGTGTGCCTGATTATTGTTACTGAGGCCAGGCACACCTGGATTAATCAGTTTGTCAAATAATGGCAGACAGGAAACAAAGGAGCTGGCTAAAGTTCAGGAAGTAGTGCAGCTGTGCATAAAGCCAATTGGCCTGATAACCAATTGCGAGTTTATATCTCACAATTCTGAGAAAAGATGTCAGAATTTCGAGATATAAACTTGCAATTATGTGTTATAAAGTCAGAATTGCGAGATGTAAACTCGCAATTGTGAGAAAAAAAAAGTCAGAATTGTGAGATAAAAAGTCGCAATTCTGTCTTTTTTTCTCGCAATTGCGACTTTATTTCTCAGAATTGCGACTTTATATCTCGCAATTGCGACTTTATTTCTTACAATTCTGACTTCATATCTCGCAATTGTGAGATAAAAAGTCGCAATTTTTTTTATTATAATTTTTTATTCAGTAGCAGAAACAAGCTTCCATAGTATGGTGCTCAGTATTCAGAGAAGAATGTCCAATGAACTGAAGATTTTCTATCTTTATCTGAGATTTCTATGTCTAAAGGCTGGATTTGTTTGGTATATGATCTCATTTAAAGTAAAGGAACTTACAGGTCATCATCCTTAAAAGACTTTGGTTCATTCCAGATCACTCATTGTTAAAGTACTCGTATACAAATTGCAGCAGCCACCAAGACCCTTGAACCTACAGAAACCATTTCTCTTCTCTCAGCAAAGCTTTATTGGCATGCCTGTTGAGCACTGCTTAAAAATAGACAATGCAGACAATAAATAAGGTGAAATAAAGAAATACAGAAAATAAAAGAAAGGTACAATTAATTAATAAATAATAAAGAGAATGTTATGTGAATCAAGAAATATAGGCATTGAATGTAAAATTAAAAAAGGGACAAGGAAAAAGTAAAGTAAATAAAGCAATATTATATTTGAACAGGAACATGAAATGAAAAATAAACTGACTGGGAGTAAAAAGGAATGGGACAAGGAGTAAATAAAAACAATAATAAAATAAAATTAATACAGGATAGATATAAAGGAAAATAGATAAAAAGGAATAATGTAAATAAGGAAATGAAGGGGAAAATTAAAAAGGGACAAGGAAAAATAAAAAAAAGTAATATTTATATGGGAACATAAAAAAGGAAAAATAAAATAAAGGGACACGGGAAAATAACAATAAAAAGTAACGAAAGTTAATATAAGAAAAATATAGGGTAAAATAAATATATAGGAAAAAAATTAATTAAAATAAAATATATAATTAAGATCTAAAATGTACCTGTGAAAAAATGTGTCTCATCTCTCATATATATCTCCCTCTTTCCTTCTCCTCTGCTCCTAAAGTGCCTCATCCTCAGTGACTGCGGTGTCTAAATTGAAATGCATGATGAATTATGTGGCAGTTTAAGGGGACCATGAAAGATGACATGCGTGAGATAATGATTGTAAATGTAGATCCACGTGGCGAGTCAGGAGTTTTTGTTTGTTTACTAATGGCTTTGTCTTTCGACAGAAGGAGGGACATGCGAGGTGATTGCGGCCCACAGGTGCTGTAACAAAAACAAGATAGAAGAGAGATCTCAGACCGTGAAGTGCTCCTGTTTACCAGGGAAAGTAGCAGGGACCACCAGGAATAAACCCTCCTGTGTTGACGGTAGGTGAAGAGACATGGCACAAGTCACCTTTCATCTTAGGTGCGTATAGCTTCCTTTGTGTTATGTTGAATGTAACAGATGCTGACTGTTTTAAACCATCTTAGTGCAGCTGTGCAGTGGTTGAACAGGCTTGCACAGTGCAGCTGTGCTTAAACACACTCTGTGCAGCTGTGTAAAGCTGCAAGGTGCTCCAAAAGACTGTACAGCTTTTTTTAAGGTGTGCTATGTTGGAAGAAACTCTGTTCAGGGTCGCTCTTGCAGTGTCCCTGCCCTAGAAAAGCTCAGATCCTCAGGGCTTTTCATTATTAATGCTCTGTCCTTATGACAAACGAGCTGCTGTAAACTAACACTTCTGGGAGAACATCTCACTCGCAACGCACCCCGAGATAATCAAAGAACATTAACTTTGACTGCATCTCGCGGAGGAGCATCCGACCTTTTCCCTAAGTAAAGCTCATTAGGATATTCTTTTCCTAAAGATGACGTCTGTCGTTTTTGGGGGGGGGGGGGGGATTTTAAAACACTTAAATGCCTTAGCTTAAAGGGATAATTCACTCAAAAATAACATTTCTGTTATCATTTACTCATCGTTGTGTCGTTCCAAACCCCTGTCACTTTTTTCTTTCAAGATATTAGACAGAATGACAGGCACCATTCACTGTCATTGTATGGAAAAAAGATGAATCAAAAGTGAAAGGTTGGTGACTGAGGCTGCCATTGTTTGAGGCTGATTTCTTTAAATGGCAAGGGTTAAATCAAGGGTTAGCATCATGATTTAATAAAAAGTATTTTGCAAACATGTCAAGACATTTATATAAATATACATTCTATAAATATTGAATAAATGAATCCAACATGAACACACTCACCGGACACTTTTTTAGGTACCGGGTTGGACTAGAACTGTCTTAATTCTTCATGGCACAGATTCAACAAGGTGCTGGAGACCTTCCTCAGATATTTTGGTCCATATTGACATGAAAGCATCATGCAATTTCTGCACATCCATTGTTAGCTCCACATCCATGATATAAATCTCCCGTTCCCCCATATTCCAAAGGTGATTTATTGGATTGAGCAGCCCAGTCTCATCCCAAGACGTCATATGACTGACGCTTTTGACCATACGTCAACATCCGACGTTTTAGGGTACCCTTTAACGTCAGTTAGATGACGGTATCTAATCCTAACCCTACCCCAGACCTAAACCTACCCGCGTCATCTAACTGACGCTAAAGGTAAAGCGTCAGTTACATGACGCCCTAGGATCGTCATCTAACTGACGTTAAAGGGTACCCTAAAACGTCGGATGTTGACATATGGTCAAAAGCGTCAGACAGATGACGTCTTGGGATGAGACTGTGTTAGATTGAGATCTGGTGACTGTGGAGGCCATTTGAGTATAGAGAACTCAGTGTCATGTTCAAGAAACCAGTTTGAGTTGATTTGAGCTTTGTGACGTGTGTTATCCTGCTGGAAGTAGCCATCAGAAGAGGATACACTGTGGTCATAAAGGGATGGACATCAGCAACAACACTCAGGTAGGCTGTGGTGTTTAAGTGTGGCAAGAAAATATCCCCCCACACCATTACAACACCATTACACCACAACCAGCCTGAACCGTTGGTGCAAGTCAGGATGGATCCATGCTTTCATGTTGTTAATCCCAAATTCTGACTCTACCATCTAAGTGTGGAAGCAGAAATAGAGACTCATCAGAACAGGCAACATTTTTCCAATTTTCTACTGTCAATTTTGGTGAGCCTGTTCGAATCATGGCCTCTGCAGGTTCCTGTTCTTAGCTGACAGGATTGACACCCGAGTGGTCTTCTGCTGCTGGAGTCCTGTATCTGTTTCAAGGTTTGTTGTGTCGTGCGTTCAGAGATGCTCTTCTGCAGACCTCGCTTGTAACGAGTGATCATTTGAGTTACTGTTGCCTTTCTATCAGCTCGAGCCAGTCTGGCCATTCTCCTCTGACCTCTGGCATCAACAAGGCACACAGAACTACTGCTAACTGGATATTTTCTCTTTTTTGGACCATGCTCTATAGTCTAAACCTTAGAGGTGGGTGTGTGAAAATCCCAGTAGATCAACAGTTAATGAAATACATTCAAAGGTGCACCTAATAAAGTGGCAGATAAGTGCATATTTACAACATATTTAGCCTAATCTTCATCTGAAACTATAGCAGTTGTGTTTAGGATTCTGTATTAATTTTTTTTAAATAAATAGTGTCTGGGTGGGGAAAGACAAACGCATGTTGCCACAAGACAGCAGCATCATTAGAAACAAAGGCAGTTACCTTTTCCATCTTTTCGGGCCGCAATGTGTTGTCTATTCTGTAGAGGACTAGTAAAGTCCAGAGGCAGTCCAGGCCGTGTGTTTGGAAGTTACTTTTTTTTCAGGTATTGGTGCGTGTTGTTTCTGTATTGTTGTTTTACCAAAATACATAAGGATGGTCTGCACTCTGAAAAAAATAAAGCAACTTGATTTATATAAAGCAACAGGGGGAAAATACAGATGTTTGGTCCAAAACCATCTTCAGTTACTTGGAACTTCATGTTGTTGCTGTTTTACCTAAAAAGAGTACAGTCTTTGCCAAGAAAGTAATTAAAAGACAATGACAGAAAGATTCTGGAAGCGTCCACCACTTTGTGAAGGAAATCCCATATTAATTTATTTTGGTCTTGCAGCACTATGAACTGATGTAACAATTATATTTTATATAAATGTATTGAAATAATATTTGTTATTTATATTTGGGTCTTGCAGCAGTAACATGAACTGATGTAACTATGATATTTTATATAAATGTGTTGAACTAATATTTTTTATTTATATTTAGGTCTATTTACATTAATTTACTAAATATTTTAACTTATTATGGTCTTGCAGCAGTAACATGTATCGAAGTAGAATATTTTGACGGTAATTGTGATTTAAATGTTACATTTTGTAGGATACTTCTATTGCATTTTATGGTTACCAGTTAAACTGAGATGACATTTACTGAGATAGTGGCCATTAAAACTGGTCCGTTTTCTCGTTCTCTTCTCATCCATAGTGATATTCTAGGATATGAGGCTGAAGGCTATCTCTCTGTCAAAGGAGTACATGACAGTGAAGGTTACATGTTGTGTATGAGATGTTTTGTTTACTTTATGGAGGATAAGAGACCTAGTAAAGTAAATTTTAATCAAAACAGAGCCCTTGCCTGAGGTTGTTTTCCATTGATTTTATTGCTCTGTAGCCAGATCAGTGTAAGATTGGTCTAATCCATGCAGTGTTGTGACTATTGTACATGTTAGCAAAGTCTATAAAGCTTGAATGGTCATTCACTCTTTTAAAATATCCTTGGAGAAAGTGTTGAGCATAGACAAATTCAATTTTAAAGGCCTATTCGCAAAAAAAACTAAACTATTGGTTGAGTGCTTTTGGGTTTTGCAATATTAATGAATATGACTTAAGTTCAGTGCCGTTATCACGGAAATGGAGTAAGTCACAAACTTCGAGTACTTGTCAGAATATTAATAACATAAAAGTTCCTTATACAAACCGTTTCAGGTATTAGTAACACTCTCTCCTGAAACGTTTGGTGTTCAATGCAAGGTGACAGCATTGCAGTGATGCATTAATGTATCATATTTTAATATAATCATAGTGATGCCAATATAAGATGTTCTCTACCTCCTCAGCACCTGCTTTCTTAATGATCCCTACTTGATCTCCATTTGGTAATTATCATCAATTTTGCAGAGTGGGAAAAATTGATAGTTTTCAAGAATGCTTTTCTCTCTATAACTGAAATGACGTCAAACTTTTCATTGTAATGTCAGTAGATTGACCTTCATTATGTACATGGGCCGTATATTTTTTTTCAGAATATTTTCTAAGACTACAAGGTGATTTAAGTGAACAATTCGGCATAGGATTTCATTTCAGAATAATACCTTTCATAAAATGCCACTCTGTGAAATGGCTCTGCTCCTACTGACCACGGACATCCACTGGGGCTATTCATTCAAGCACATTAGAGTCAGGTCAATTTTATTTGTATAGCGCCTTTCACAACATATCGTTTCACAGCAGTTTTATAGAAAATTGTACCTTAAAGCCCCAATGAACAAGCCAAAGTCTGTGGCAAGAACAAAAAGTGCATAAAATGTTTAAGATGGAGAAAAACATCGTTGAGAGGAACCAGACTCTGCTGGAGGAAGCCATCCTTTCTTATGACAAAACACATATTACAATAAATTTAAATACATATGTGTAACACTGTGTGCTATATAATGTTTATTGAATACTATTTTTTTTATACAATCCTAAGAAAAGGATCTATATGGAACGTATTAGGGTTCTGTCAGGTGCTTCATATAGAACATTTTAGGGGTTCAAATGGGATCAATTTATGGGTTTAATATTAATTGATTGTATTTATTCATTCTTAATTACATTATTATTATTTATTAAACAGCTCATAAACATACCTTAAATTTATAACCCATTAAACATGAAAGTATTATGCAATCATTTAAGACATTTCTCTTTATATAAAACTTTATGGCCTAAAAGGGTTCTTTAAAATCAAGCCAAGAACTTCGGGTTCAATATAGAACCATATTTAACTTTTTTCTTAGTGTACATTCATTTATCTGTCTATCCATCCATCCATCCATTCATTCACATTTTTGTAATTTAATTTGAAGGAATAATTCACCCAATTTTTTTTTTTATTCTGTCATCATTTAGTTTTGCTCATGTTGTTTCAAACTTGTATGACTTTCTTTCTTTGGCAAAACACAAAGTTATTTATGTTGAAAAATGTTGGTAACCAAACAATTTTGCACACTATTGACTTCCATTGTGTGGACACAAAACATTTATCATAATATCTTCTTCAGAAGAAAGAAAATCATACAGGTTTGGAACAACATGAGGGTGAGAATGTGATGACAGATTTTTCATTTTTGGATGAAATATTAATTTAATTTAATTTAGACCATGCATAAATTACTTAGTCTAAATACTTAAAATCTATTCTAAAACATTTGGAGTGATGCAGTCAGAAAAGCATCCTTAGACATGTAAACGTACATTTTATTGTCAGATGCAAGGAGCAGTCGAGGATGGGAACTGGAACCTTACCCTGTTTTAAGTCAGATGCGCGTAAGAGTCTAACTCAATTATGATCTGCTTGCAGCCTCCATAGTGATTGGGAAGTGGTGGTGTGAGATGGAGCCGTGTCTGGAGGGAGAAGAATGCAAGACTCTACCAGATAACTCCGGCTGGATGTGCTACTCCGGAAACAAGATCAAAACCACCAGGGTGAGATTTAGAGCACCTGAAAGCATTCCTTGTTACTTTACATTACTCAAGATACTGAACAATTCATGACTCTTAGTGGTGCGGTGTATGATGATTGCATGATGTGATTGAGTGTGTGTCTGTGTTGTGCTATTGTTTTTTGCTTATTTCACTGAAATAGTTGGTTAATAAAGAGCAGAACACAGAACAATAAATAAACAACATACACCTGAATGGTTACAGGCAAGTGTGTTGGACACTGGACATATTATAAAAATAGAAGCCCTGCACACTGCTGTTAGCTCACAAGAAATTCAATATTTACTAAAATAACAGTGATTCGGTCATGTAACTTCCGTCAGGCAGAAAATGACACAACGGCATAAAATCATAGACAATCAGATGGTTTCTTCAGGTAGCCAATAACAATATGGTCTATGGTAATTTCTATTTAAGTTCTATTGAATACCATTTAGAATGTAACACCGTGTCCTAACCAGACGCGATGCGATAAGATTCCAGCAACAAATAATTTGTCTGTCTATACCAGACGCGACGCGACGCGACTGCGAGATGCGTCAAAATCAATCAAAACCCACAGCCAATCAGAAGAGCGTGTGGGCGGGCTCTCGCAGCAAGCGCACACACCGCACCAGAGTAATCAGAGTAAACAGAGGCTGACTGCACTCGCCAGAAAATGGATAAGTAGGGAACATAATCAAATTCACAAATATTACACCATATAAACATTATTCAAATACATAGGCTACTGAGTTTCTAAAACAATCTTTGTCAAATAATAGGTTACACTTGTTTGTTCACAGTTTGAACGTTCTTGTTTCCATTTGTTTAATTTCAAGATCTGAGGTGAATTATTCATTGTTGCTTTTACAGCTACAAAGCTGGAGCACTAAATGATATTCAAAATCACATTACACGCTTTTAACATTAAATAAAGCACATAAACAGTACCTGAGATTATCATTGCCATTGTTTGTTGTTCCAGCACGACGTCGCAGAAAAATAGAAACCGTTTCTAGAATCGTCGCGGTCCTAAACTCTGATTAACATGGAAAATAAAGGCTACCTTTTATCGCACATCGCGTGTAGTTTGGACACGGTGTAATGCTTGTCCAGGTGGGATTAATTAAGAGCAGAAAAACAAAAACACACATGCCCTGTTCAGGCCTTGTCTACACTTTTTTGTCAACAAAGATTAAGCTTTTTGAAAACGCTTTCCCAAGTGGATACATTTAAAAACATTGTTTTCACGTTGTAGTGTGGACTGTAAAAACGGAGGTATTTGAAAACGATCTATGGTTGTACCGGCATTTTTGTGCCTGATATATACTTCCATAGTGTTGATAAAGAGAAATGTCCATTTGTCTTTATATTGCATTCCTGCAAAGATGACTAAAAATTTACTCACAATTGCTGTCCGGCAGTACCCTGGAAATCCAAAGTTCTCGCGAGAGCACAATTTGAATTTGCTCAGCAAGTCACTCTGGCATTGAGTAATGATGCTCATTAACTATGCCCTTGTAGCCGAGCTGCACCAATCACATCTGTGTATCTAATATAGGCGGCCCGAGGCGAGCTAAACAGATGACGACAGTGCTGCAACATCGAAGTCATTAGTAAACATTGCAAGATGGCTATGGATGAACACCAGTTGCTTGAAACGGCTTTGGCCGCTACAATGACCCAGTTAAGACTTGGCTTTTTATACAAAAGATGAACAGATGATGGCGCTCAAATCGTTCCTTTGCAAGAAGGACGTTTTTGCTGTTTTGCCAACCGGATAGAGTCTAATCTACCAGTTAGCTCCGCTGGTAGCTAAGCGTAGGTGGCGTATTGGTGTGATTGGTCGTAGTGTTATCCAACTGCGTGCAGTGAAATTTTCAAATGCATGTTTGGTGCTGCCTTTCGAGTTGGGCGATTTTTCATTACTCAATGCCAGACCCATAATCTTTCGGATTTGGGTCTGGATTTCCAGGCTAGTCCGGCGGCAAAACATAATGACAATTGTGTTTTTGACCCTGCAATTTTGAGTGAAACCTGGACACAACACTGAATGGTGTGATATTTTGCTAATAAAAAGATTGTGCCACAAGAATAGCACTTTGAACGTGAGAACTTTATTTCTGGGTATATCTTGTGAACTTTTAGTACGTTTTACCCATGCACAGTAAGGTGATTTAAGCATTTTCAGATGTTTCATTGTGGATGAGCAACTTCTAGAAAATGCTAGTGTGGACAGGGAACGTTTTCAAATGTATCCTGATTAATGTAGATGTAGTTTACTCTAAGTTGTTTTCGTTTTAAAACGCATAACTTTTGCTATGGCTACGCCTGGTGTCCACACTATTTCAAAGATTTCGACCCTCGAAAACTGAGATTTTTGTAAATGCCGCAGACCCCATTTTAGTTTGAAAACTCTGGGGTTGCTTTTCAGTGTAGACGGAACAAAACGGAGACTTTTGAAAACGAAGGCATGGTTGCCCACATTCGCTCCCTGATTGGGTCTTCTGGATCATTGCATATCCTTTTCTGATTCGTCAAGCCCCTATCATAAGACCATTACGCTACCGGAACACGACAATAACAGACCAGATCCATCTCTCTATATGGCTCTGTAACAGACCAGCTTCGACGACCATGTAAACAATAACATGGAGACGGAACTGCAAGCTTTGCTGATTTTGTTGTCCTTCTGAGCAACCATTGTGCAGTTAAACCCTGCATTTTATAATACTGCTGCTGCCTAAATGCGCAAGAGCAATCGGCAACTGTTTACACTTGTACGCGTAAGCCCAGTGTGCACGAATGGTCATGTGACATGGGTTTTTGGTCATGTAGTGTCAGATAGAAATCTTTTCTGAAACTCAGTGGAAATGCCAGTGCAACTGTCGTAGGCCAGTAAGAGCTGTGCAAGTAAACCTCACTCCCCTGATCTCAAGAGGCGCTCCAGTGACTGACACTAGAGGCTGTGGTCTTTAGCTTCCTTGATTGAGCGCCCGGTTGAGTAGAACCGGTTACACCAGTATGGACGAGGATCCTTTTCATTTTAAAACGCCACGGTAAAACAAAAACGCACTAGTGTGGACAGCCTCAGTATGATTTTTTCCCCCTTATTTTCTTTTTCTTTCTTTTTTTCAGAATACCCACCCATACACATCCTTGTAGCAGATATAGAGTCACTGGAAAGCTCATAACGGAGAAAGGTTTTTGATTATCATTCCTCCTTTTTGCCTGTTCAACATGGTGATTCAGTGAAGACATAAAATTATCAATAGAAAACAAATAATGGATTTCAACGGTGTGGGACCTATGGTAAATTCATCCGTTCTCAGATTGTTTTCATGTTACTCATCCATCTCTTATTTACTTTACTTTTTCAGGGAAATATCCAAGACGACAAGCTGAATTAAGTTTTCCCAACTCGAAACCAACAGACGTGTCTAATGACTTGACATGGAGCCCTTTTCTCATAAATCCATCTGTCTCTAACACGGACACCAGACTTTCTAAGAGAATCGTTGTGGGCGTGGAACTGCTGGCTCTTTCATTGTTTTGTTTGACAATTGTCAAATATTTGTTTCCTCTCAGTGAGTCCTGGATAATTAAACTTGTATCCCTTTGTGTGGAGTGCACTCAAACCAGCTACACCTTGCCTGAAATAATCTTCAACTGTAAAATTCTTGGATGTTCCTATGTCTCCGGAAGAACATGTTAATTCTCCTACTGTATGTAGTGAAACTGGCTTCCTGCTCATGTGGATATTCAGAAGGGGATCGTCTTCAAGCAACTTTAATAAAGACACTTTGTGCATCGACTATGAACAAAATGCAGAGGAGCATGTGTACATGGAATGACTGATCCCATCCTATCCGGCCGGAGACGTTCCTCCATTTCTTGGAACATTATATCAGATTAAGAGTTCTGAATGAATTATGGTGTGGTACTAAAACCAAATAAGTCCTTAGCATGATTTTATGGGAAGTTGTAATAGATGAAAGAAATGTTTTTCATAAATAAAATGAATTCCAAAAATGGTGAGAATTATGTTACAACTATATTTAATTTGCAATAAACAATAGTTTAAATGTGAAAATAATGGGTGAGAAGGTGCAAAGGAACAGCCATGTTTACGTGTTCTTGTTCTCTGTTCTATTGATTGGTTAAAGATGCTATTTTTATTTATGGGCTTCAGTAATATTTTGACAAATTGAGTCATCAAGGCTTAACTGAAGTGTTCTCAAAATGTACATGTTTAATCAAAAACTAATAGACCATCACTTTGGCTACAGCAATATATAAAAGCTGTGGATTTATTACTGAAGTTAATGAAGCCTGATTGAAATATGCTGTTGCATGCACATATAAAATACCGTGACATTCAAATATTCTGAATCAAATTCATTTCCCATTGTTCAAATATACCTTCATTAAATGGTACAAGACCTACTAAGACCATTCTGTATATTAAGGGTTCTGGTCATTTGAACGGACTGGAGAAAAGAGGGTCGAGAGGGTCTTTGAATGTGTAGGCAGGCAGTCTGCACTGAAGGACACAGTGAAAATTCTGACACCCGCTGGGACATTTACCTGTCGTTTACATTCAGAAATAGTCCTCTCCGCTCGGAGCAGCTGAGGGCCAGAGCACGCACTCACTCTGAATATGTAGCTCTAGCATTTTAAGCAGGGAGCTGGGAACATAAGAGCCTCAGTGTTGCTGTCGGCATGCAGAAAGGAGGCTCTAACTACAGGCTGAGTGAATACAGATCACTACATTTACAGTCCTCCACATGGGACAGCAGAGGATGAACTTTAGCCCTCACCTTCAGTGGAGCTTTGGTGGAATTTCAAACAGTTGACTCCAGAATATCAGAGTGGAAAAATGAATAGGCTACACGGAAATCTTAAGCAAATGCCAGCATTTTCTCTTGCAGGCTGAGCTTTTGTCAGAGAGGTCTTCAAATCATGTTTTTTTGCCAAATGGAAAAAGTTCCTTTGTGTTGTTGAAAAGATTTACAATATAAAGAGGAATCATAGTATTACCATTAAGATACATAAATGGAAGGAAATAAACGAATCTACAAATATCATTATACAATATAGTTTTAGTTCTAAAATGTGATTGGCTAGTGCTTGTGGTCACTTACACACTGTAAAGTTTCAGGAGTGACAAGCGCATTTAAATACGGGAGCTGAATCCCCTAACGTATCGCTCCGTGTGTATGGGTCAATGGGCGGGTATGTATGGGCGGGTAAATGTATGGGGGGGGGGTCTAATGGACTAAATAAGCTCAAGCTATTTACATATAAACGTAGCTGCGTGTGAGAGAACATTGTGTTTGGTATGTTTTTCGTCTTTAAACCAAACTTGGGTCTCCAGCCGACAAAGTTTAAATCCCGCCTGGCTATAGCGCGCTTCCCATTATGTTTACGCGTTAGGTCTGTAGGCGGAGAGTAGGTGGTCTTTGTGGCTGTTCGAATGCATTCGACCAACGTCTACACTACGAAAGCAATCTGGTCAAATGCGTTTTCGACTACCTCTGGAAGTGGTTGAAAGTGGGAAAAAAAACTTTTTAGACCGTGTTTACATCTGTATTTAGGATCGTCCACTTGTGATCCGATCGACCAAAACACATCTTAAAGGGATAGTTCACTTTGAAATTAATTTTTGATATGTTTTAGCTTACCTCCAGTGCATCCAAGATGTAGGTGTCTTTGTTTCCACAGTATCTTCAATTTTGATAATTTTAGGTAAAACCGTTGTTGTCTGTCAGTCATACAATGGAGGTGAAGGGGGTCCTCCTCAAAGAGCAGTCAAAATTAAACATTATTTAATGACTCGTAAATGTAAGTACACATTGATGCCCTAAGACACGAAACGAGTGGTTTTTGTGAGAAAACGAACAGTATTTATATTGTTTTTACCTCTTGTAACCACAGCCATGCCCAAGTTATCTGAGGGCGCGGACGCTTCCGTGTGTGACGTGTACGCAGACTGGTGCATAGATAAACTAGATGTCGCCTTGGCGACGGCAGTTCATTGGAACGAAACCTTAGCCAAGGCGACATCTAGGGTATATATATCTATGCACCATATTTTGGTCATGTTTTCAATATTAACCATTTGGATTTATCTGGGTTTACTATGGGCTTGTTCTTGTTTGCTGTTTTTTTTTTCTAGCAAGATCTGGCAAAACGAAAGTCAACGCTCATACCACTTGCCCTGTGGTTTTCTTGCACCACACACATACAGAAGGCTACATCTCTGATGCGCATTTAAATACGTTATTAACAATGTGCATCTGCAACCATAGAACTCATATGAATATCTATACCTGCAATAGACATCAGCAGATGATTTTGCTAAACGAACACAATACAACAAGATGAAGGCATCAGCTGACATGACATTAAAATGTTATCAATTATATACCATGGTATAAAAACCTGTAATAATGAGTTAATACATATAAAAACACAAACCAACACATTCTCATTTGTGAAAAGTTATCACATTTTTATGGAATTCAAATCTCTGCTGTTTTACAACTAGAAAGTATGCAATGATTCTCATTGTGAATGACGACACACTGGCAGTTCCAAGATGGCTGGTGGGCGCGATGACGTGTCTGATCATGTGGCATACATAGTTAATTCGGTTGTAGAATGTGGTTGTCACTCCCGTAAATTACTGAACTGTGTGTGTAGCCTACTGAACAGATGAAGCACTTAAAGATTAACTGAGAACCGAATTTATGCAGTGTGTAAGTGGCCACATGTTTATATCGAGCCGCTTGTGTTTGTGCGCTCTGGACAAACTGTCACTCTGTGCATTAGAGTTTTTTTACAGTGTTTCTTTCCACAGTGTACATCTTTGCTAGATGGGTGAGACACTGAATGATTCATTAACTTTTTCAAAAAAACTGATTCATTCAGGGACAAAACAAGTGTCTGTTTTTATGAGTGAATGACTGGATAATTATTTCAACAAATTCATTCAAAAGACTGATTAAATTAGAAACTAAACAAGTTCCTGCCTTTATGAGTGAGTGATTGAATCATTTTACTTAACCAATTGATTCAAAAACACAGATTCATTCAGAAATGAAACAAGTGAGTGGCTGTGTCTGAAACCAAATACTCTCATAGTACAGTGGTACTTTTTCAGTATATGTTCTATATAGTATAAATGTGTGTTGCACGAATGTAATCCGGATGTATTACATGTGTCACGTTGTCATGTGACCTACTGTGACCACTACTCCTCTCCCGTGGCATCATAGCATATTAAAGTGTCCGTTGAATGCTCAACTCAGAATCTTGAAGTAATAGGTCAACTGGGTTGTTCTTGCCTACTGTTTTATGAACATACTACTCTTTTCACATACTGAGTCACTGAATCATTTACTCAATTGATTCGTTCAATAATACTGAGGCATTCATGTACAACATTGTCGAAAGACAAAATGATTCTGATTTGACTGAGTAAAACAGACAAACTTGTGTCTAAAAAAACAACTTATTCATACATTTTTCTTGTTTGCTCAACTGTATAAAAACAATATCTCCAACTGTGGCCTCATATGGATGTCGCAGCACTTCTGCCCGTGAGATAGGCAATTGCTTATTATAAAACGCCTAAAAATAAAAAATGATACAGATTTATATCACTATTTATATAGTGTTTCATGTCAACTAATACACTAGCCTGTTCTCACGTAAATGCGTCTTTATAGCACCCATTGTGTATTATCGTGCAATTTATACGCGAAAATGAGTTTTTACGTGCATATGATACGCAGTTCATTTGCGTGTAATACACACTCACCCCACACCACTAATTCTACCCAAACGTATAATACACACGCACCCCAAACCACTACTAAACCTACCCTAACCAAACCATGCGTATCCTATGCACGTAAAAACTAATTTTCGCGTATAAATTACACGATAAACACACTGCGTGCTATAGAGACGCATTTAGTGTGATCGGGTTGAATACACATATTTTCCAAGTTTTCCATCATGTTCTTTTACCACTTCCGACCTCCAGTGTTATTTGGAAGGGCAAAGGTATTCAAATGCAAAGTTTAATTCTTCAGCAAAAGTGTTGTAAAAACATATCACACATGCTGATGGTTGCTTGTTAAGCTCTTTGAGGTTCAGTAAATGAGGCTATTAATGATTCAAAGCAGTTTCTGATACAATGAAGCCGCTGGAGCTTTGAAGGATAAAAGCAGCGATGTCCTCATCACTGAAACGGCGTTGACTCCGCTGATATTTGCTCAGAGAGACAATTCTTGGTCTGGGAAGTCTGAAAATGCTCCTGTGAGGCTCTCTGTCTGCTCTGAAAGTCTCCCAATGTCATTACAAAAAGTAATTTATACAACACTTTAAAAGGACGGCGAATGAGATTGCAAATTGGATCCCTTTGAAAACAACTTGCTGGTATTTTTTCTCTCTCTCAGACAGATTCAAATGAAATACGGATGTATAAAAATTAAGTTTCGATCTTAGATTAAAAAAATTAACAAAGTCAACAAAATAACAATGGCTGCTCACTTGTTCCGTTTAACTTCAGCATGCGCGCTGATCACAACATGAGCTCCCTTGTTGTTTGCTTGGTGAAGCACTTCTTTTTGACTCTAATTTAACCTGACATCAGGAGCTTCTTACACAACCCTGCTCTCAATCACAATTATTAATGACCAGCACAGAGTCAGGGAGCTGTCAACATGTGTGCTGTTTGGCAATGTGCATGCAATAAAGCACTAAAACATCTCCAGTAGTACCACTACCTCTTAGTCTTATTAGCTAGTAACATCACTGAATAATTCAGAGAAAAGCAGAGGTAAGCACTGTTTCCCAATCTGAAACACGTTTAAAGAACAAGACATGCAAGAAAGCAAAACCAACCTGTTCAAATCTCACAGCTCTGTTTAAAAAAAAAAAATGCCAGCCACACAATTACTCCTTTTTAAACCAGTGTACCTGAAAATCAAAAAAGTACAGGCTGTGGTGATAGACTATATGCAAACTCAAGACTCGCTTTCACCTTTCATTTTCACCTTCTCGAGTCACTTAATTCACAGCCTCCTCTCACACCCCGATACACAAACAAGACAGGTATCTCTCAACTAACATACACACACCATAACACTTGATCACGACAAGCAGACAAAAAAGGGAAATCATCCAAAGGCGTCCTTGACAGATTATTATACAGAGTCTGAGTAGTTTTCATGAGACTAGTTAAAGCATGCACAATATGATGACTACACCCCCAAGCCTTTCACAATTATAACAAAAATCACCTTTATGTCTCCTTTAATCATTAATAATTCATTTATCATTAAATGTGGCACATTTAGAGGCATTCTCGAGTCCTCCTTTGCAAGGCTCAGATTAGTCAAGCACTACTGTACAACATCTTGAATGCAGCAGATGTGAAGTTTTCCCAATTATACAAAAGACAGTTTGATGATAACAA